TGAACGCGTGCCATTCTTTAATTTAAACATTAACGTGAAATTAAAAGAATATTAGTTACTTTCCGAAATCAAAATACTAAATTAGAATGAAATCGGAAAAAGAAAGATGAGATGCAAGTGATGCGATATGTCGAGGCAAGTGTTTGACACTTTGTCCTTAAGATGAATTTGCCCCGCATCGGTGATAACGGTTTTCCGGCAATCATCTCACAAGATACAACAACCATGTTAAGCCATAGGAGCACTCCAAATGACTTAGACCAACGAACTCGAACGAAATTCCATCTCTACCATAACCATGATTTTGATGTAAGAAATAATCACTTCTACAAAGTGTTTTATGCAAACTAAATTGTAAACATGGAATAAAATGATATAGAACTATCAATTGAATTCTCGTTATCAATTCAAACACATGAGAATTTATATATATAGTAGTTGAAAATGTTTGTCAAAAGACACAACCATACCAAGAGACACATCTTTTGAAATTAAGATACATAATTATTGGAAATTACCCATACCAAAAGTCATGATCTTCCATATGAAAAGACACATCTTTTCATCTACATATTTTCTAGAATATTTCACAATATTCTATACGAGTTTCCAACAATTTCAAGTATTAAGCGGTTTAAGTTTGACTTAATTTCTCATTCACCAAACAACGAATTTCGCTTAAATCATTTAAATTGGTCACAACTAATTTTCGATACAAAATTTCAACAAATCCCTATAAGAAATTGGCATTAGGATGAGACCGATGAATTGACAAAAGTTAAGTAAAGCAGAAAAGAATTGAATCGGAGTTCGATTCTAGTCTTCTTGAGTTTTAAACAGATTTTAGTATTAGAACTTAGAACTAGTTGATTCAGTCTGATATTCAATTCTAGTACTTGAAATTGAAACCCATAGCAAACTAAACATTTTAACGTGTTATTTCAGTCATTTAATTTTGGTCCATGTTTAACAAAAATTCTCTCATTATTATTATGGAATCACATATATTCCTTTCTTTTTTCTTCTTTCATAATATTTTCATCCACTTATTTATTATTTAGATCAGAGTTATGCTTTTCGTGTTGAAAAAAAAAAAGAAAAATAATTTGTTTCTCAGTCAAAATGTTCCATTTTTATATTGTTATAGAAAAATATTTGAACCAAATTTATTTCAATTAAACAAAGAATTTTTTCATACTTTCATAACATAACACGCTTTATTACAATATTTTTTTAAAATTTTATTATTATTATTATTATTATTATTATTATTATTCAATTTCATTCTTAATTTAGAAACGTGTACTTAATTTGATCCTTAATCTCTCATTCAATCTCTAGGTTGATTTCATTAAAAAAAATAATTATTGATATGTAATTGTTGAATGTTTATAAAATAAACTATTTTAATTTCCAATAGGCATTAATACTTAAATTAATGAAATATAAATAGCTAATTTACATCAAATTATTGAGTTTGCAGTGTAAATTAAGAAATTATATGATAAAAATGTTTAAGATATATGCGGTGTATATTAAGAATTTATGAGAATAAAAAAAAATAAAAAAGTTTGAGAAATGCTAATTCTTTTTCAATATGTGGTTGATATTAATTTTAAAATGAATCAACTTGATTCGATAATTTGTGATTTGATGCATTTGATTATGATAATAATCGGTTGATAAACTAAACAAAATGTTTTCAAGAAATTATCTGAATTTTCATCTCATATATAAAATTTGTTTGTTTCAAATTGTGCCTTCAAAAATTGACATTGTAGCATTGTATTTCATCGACTTTTTTTCTCATACATGTTTACATTCCAAAGCAAGTCAAACAGGTTGCACCCAAGCATACACTAAGAGCGTGTCTGAGAGGGCTTTTTCAATCAAAAAAATTCATTTTTGAACTGTTAGAAAGAAAACTAAGCAGCTGAGCCTTGTTGGCTTTTGTGGAATTGATTTGTTGTTAGAGCCTTGCTGGCTTTACAATTTGTGCTAATATTGGTGATGTGGTATTGACATGTTGATGGCCTTGCCGGTTTAGAATTGCTTGATGTTTGAAATTGTTATTAATTCATAAACTATGCTTGGACAAATATGCTATTTGTGCGTAAGTTTTTTCAAAAATTGCTTGTCCATGTGAAATTCTAAGTTACATTGAGCACAATAGTCATGATTAATTGTTATCTAGATATGGTAATGATTGTTTGATGGGAAAATCTTTGTTTTGGTAAGAACATAGGTTGTGAGTTGCTTGAAAAGTTTTATTAACCTACATCCACTTGTCTTTCACTTAACCATGTTGTAAGATAAGTTTGGGGGTGTGATAAGTGTGTTTTTACACACTTATTAGACACTTTTTGGAGTTAATTATGTTGAAATTGAGTAAATTTCTATTCATAATTGTATAATTTTCACTTTTGTAGGCAAAAACCCCGATAAGAAAGAGAACGAGGCGAAAAGGAAGAAAATTGAACTTAAAGCGTAAAAAATGGTGAAGTTGAGGACCAAATTGGACAAGACATAAAATTGGAGGACTTGGAGTGAAATTTATCTTTCTTTGGTCAAAGTTGGATATTTTCTTGTGTTTTTAGCCACTTAACTAAGCTTACTTCTTTAGTTAAGTTATAAGGTTGCATTATCTTTGTTTTTTTTTATTAGGAGATATTTTTGGATTTTTTGGGAGTCTAATTATCCTTTAAAAACAACCAAAAACATGTCAAAAGTTATCATTCTCTCCTTCTCCAAGCCTTGGACCTTTTTTCCCTTTTTCTTTTCTCTTTCATTTTTCTTTTCTTTCTTTTATCTTGTTCTTAGTTCATTTTGGAAGCATAGTTGATAACAACTAGGAGATCAATCATCAAGGAATACTTGGAGACTCAATGGAGGGATTCAAAGCTACACTAAAAAGGATTGTATCTTTATTTTTGCATTCCTTCAATTTATTTTCCAATGTTTTTAATGTATTGTTATATGAATCTCCTTTGTTGTTATTTTTCTATGATGAGCTAAGTATTTTGTGTTGGAATTTATGTAGTAACGTAACCTAGTTTCATTAATATCATAGCATGTATTGAATGATGAATTTGTTATCAAAAGCATGGTGTGTTAATTATTGTGTTTGCTATTACCTCATTTATTTGGCCAATAGATGATGTGGTAAGGTAGTTTGGGCAATTATTGAGAAATTGTTGCATTAACTAGACCGAAATGATTAATACCCTAGATTTGCATTAATATATCTATTGCGCGTTTATGTGATATAGAGATATACACCTACTATACATTTACTAGGCCGAAATGATTGATACACTCAATTTGCATTAGTATATCTTTTGCGCGTTTAGGTGATATAGAAATATACACCTACTCTAGGTGACCGTTTGAGTTATTTTCACAACAATTCATGCAATTGGTTAGATTTGTATCGACATAGAAATATGTGGTATGAATTAATCAATTAGGGTTAATATCACTCCAGAGAGGTTATTGGTTAAAATTGGAAAATCGGCAATGAAGGTGGCTAACTTATATATTTGGAAATACTTCGAAAATTTTTGTGGAAGACTTTAGAAAAATGGATGGAGAATTTGTTGGAGTATTCTAAAATAAAGAAGAGAGATGCAAGAAGATTTTGTAAATAGATATGTAAGAAGATATAAGAAACTTAGAATATTTAAATGAAAGTTAGCCATAAGATAAAATAGAATCAATCGTCATTGTCCATTTAAAGTAAGTAAAACTATAAAAAATAAAAAAAATTGCTTCATTTTTCCCCAATTAAATAAGTAGGTTGAGAGCTAAATACTGAGAGCAAGAGTACTTTTAAGAGTGCATTTTAATATGTTTGATGTTGAAATTGTTGTACAAAAATCAATATTAATATAAAAGTGTGGAACAAAAAGTGGAATTGAGAGCCAAAACTTTGGCCTATGCGAACATAGGCGATGGAGGCATGCAGTTGCATGTTGGCTTGCAGGGCTTGTATGTCCTGTTATTGAACAACCTATGTGGCCGCATAGAGTTAAAAGCTAGCCGTTGGCTAATTATTTAAGCTGAAATCTTGTATCTTTTTGGATGAAAAATTGTCATTCTTCATCATGTTTTGGCACCATTTCGTATAGTATTGATTGAGTTCTATAAATATGTGATTAATGATCAATACAAATACATACAAATTACTAGAGATCAAATTCTGTTCTACAAGAAAGATCAAAACCTCTTTTCTTTGGGTTGATATTTTAATTTATACAAACCTGATTTTTACAATCTAGATCAAATCTCGTTAGTATTCTAATAAACTTATCAACCCTCCACTTACCAAACTGCATTATGATATCCTACCAACTTCCCGGAAAGGGATGAGATCAATATTTAAAAGTTGTAATACAATTCAAAAGAGAGAACAAAAAACTCAAGCTATATATACTATTTGAACAATTTTTGCTGCAAGTGAATGTTACTCTTTTCTAGATTGGTTTAACACTTGTATTTTTGATTAGTTGAAATTTACATAATTTTCTCTTTACTAGATTGGTTCACGCGTGTATTACTAATCGTTAAGCGAATAACTTCACATTGATCACATTTTGGTTAGTTGAATTTTACTTTTTTAGATTTGATTCGCACTGAGAAAATCCATTTTTAAGTTTTTTAGTAGTATTATCAATCACTAAGCAAATGACTTTTAATTCACATTCCAATTAATTGAAATTTATTTAGTATTTTAAAAATAAATCTTTTTTTCGTATTCATTGAATTTGAAATTAAAATTTATTTAGTATTTTAAAAATAAATCTTTTTTTTCGTATAGATTGAATTTGAAATAAGATTTAGAGACCCAATTTTCGTTATTACAATATAAAGATTGCTAAATAAAAACTAAAAAAATTTACCTGGATTGCTTGGATTATATACAATAATATAAGGAAAATTTTCCATAATAAGCAAATAAAGAATTAATAACAAGGAAAAGTCAATCCACTCTACACAAGAATATGTATTTTAACTATAAATATAGGATTACATTACCCAGAGTCAGGCCATGTTCTTCGGCGCCTCTAGATAATATTGAAACTCTTCCTCTCTCAACTTCTCTATCTGTGTATATGCAGAGATTGGCGAAGGAATCTACCATGAAGTGCAGATACAATGGTCATGATTCAAGAACATTCAATGGTTGCTCAAGCATTAGGTTATTTGGGGTACAGATCGATGTTACAGATGGTATTGGGAAGAAAGATGGAGACTCTTTTATCAGGAAGAGCAAAAGTTTGGGGAATTTAGAAGCATGCAACACAGAAAATACTCCGGTTGAGGCCGGATATCTCTCTGATGGATTTATACATCAATCTTCCAGATTCAAAGAAGGCCATACAAGAAAACTAGGTTTTCTCCCTTTCTTTTTTTGGTTTAAGATTGTGTTTTCCAAATTTATAAAATTTTTTTTTTTTTTAACAACTTTTCATCTCTCGTTTTATAAATTCTTTTATTGGTGCGGGTCTGATGGGGATCTATTCTCTCTCTCTCTCTCTCAATTTTGATTGTGAAACGGCAAACGCTGTTTATCTGTAATCCCATTTTTGGGTTTTGATGTGAAATATTGTGTGTGTTTTTTTTTTCCTTGTAATTAGGGAGGCCATGGTCTAAGGAAGAGCACAGATCTTTTCTAGTTGGTTTGGAAAATCTGGGAAAAGGGGACTGGAAAGGAATTGCGAAAAAGTATGTCCCATCAAGGTCTTCTTCCCAAATTGCTAGCCATGCACAGAAGTATTTCATCAGGTTATCAGCACCCGAAAAGAAAAAGCGATCGAGTGTTTTCGACATTCCTCTCAATGAAAATGTAAATTTATCATATTTTAACTCATCGTTACTGTGAATTTCATTAGAAAAGAGTTTATGACTGATGACCTCAATTTTTCCGAGAAAAGATAGTTTGTTCTCATTGTTGCTTCATTACATTGTATGATTAATTGTGAATGAATTTTGTAAATTCCCAGAATGCATTAGCAACTCTTGGTTCACCCTCCAAAAAGAATTTTGAAAATTCACAGCATGTAAGTTCAGCGTCTCAGTTTTATAAGAGATTTGAACAAATTTTTCTAACAAATATTGAAGTATTTATTCAAAAAATTTGATATACTTTTACAATAATTTAGGCTAGTAGCGCATGTGCTGCCTTGAAGAACTCAGGTGAATTCAAAGGACAGGTAAACAATAATCAAGTCGCATTTTTGTGTCATAACAGATCTGCCTTTTCTATTGATTCGAGGTAAGAAAGAATTTATTGTGCTTTTTTTTTTTTTGGATATTACGCAGGTCAGCATGCAACCTCCTACAACATCATCTGAGAAACCACCTATTTCACCAGTGCCTAAACTACATGGAATTACCAACGTTAATCATGTTGCACCATTCATGGTAAGTGAAAATTTGGTTGCAGTAGAACACATTTAGTTCGACTGTATTTTAACTAACGTCATCGATGCATATTGGAACAATCAACCATCACTCAAAATTCTTTTATGGCATCGTTATTGACTAAAGGAAAATAAGATAAATTCTTGATATTTCCACATTTCATTTTAACTGATTATTTATAGCACTGGCTTTTGCATCACACAGGCTGAAGTTTCATGCATTAACCAGAGCTTTCTGGAACAGAAAACAACACCAACTGTTTCTTGGCTTCCATATGTTAATTACCCAAATCAAAATCATGTTTTTCTGCCTATTTTCAATTCAACATTCGCTACGTGCGCCCCTTTCAAGCCTTGGCCGCCGGGTTCTACGTTAAGAGGGCCAACTCATCAGGGAGAATCATCTCAAGTGAGGACCTTCAACTGGAGTTACAAAAAATAATATCCTGAATCTCACCACTGGAAAGCTGGAATAGAGAGGAAACAGATGTGTTGTATGATTTGGGAAATTGTTTTTTTTATTTGTACTTGCCTTAGTGTGATAAATATCAGATCTACTTGGTGATGCAGATTAAGACAACATCTTACACACAAAACATCTTAAAATACTTCACTTCATACATTTATATCCTATTTGGTTCCTCAATATATGCCGGTTTTTTATGATATAGCTCAAGTAAATTAGCCATACATTCTCATAAATGCGACTCAAATTTGCTACTTCTTCCTTTCCATAAAGATAGACTTACTTTCATTTTTCGTCTATCTCAAATTATAGGTAACTTTCCTTGTCGAGGCTATAGTTGATTTCTTAATTTTCTAATATATCATCATTTAATGTGCCCTGTAATCAACAAAACCGAATTACTCATATTTAAACCATTAATTAATGTAGGGTTATATTAGAAAAATATATGAGAAAAAATTATATTTCCGATTATATTTACATTTTCTTAATATGTGAAAATGAAAACAGGGAGTGTCATATAGATAATATTGATTGTTAGTTTCTTGTTAATTAGACTAAGCAAGTGACTTCATTCGCATTTTAACTAGTTGAAGTTTACATAATTTTACTCTTTTCTCGATAGATTAACTCGATTATTACCAATGCTAACCATGTGAATTTCATTCCATTTTGATTAGTTGAATTTTACTCTTTTCTAGAAAGGTTCATACGTGTATTACCAATCACTAAGGGTCCGTTTGATAGTAAGGGTGGAAAATGGGTGGAAAGAAAATGTTTTACAGGAGAAATATTTTCCTAGAAATTGTTTTTCAGGGAATTGTTAATTAAGTGTGTTTGATTGGTATAATTTTCCACTCGGAAAATTTTTAAATTTTGTGTTCGTTTGGCTTTATTTTACATGGAAATTGTTCATTAAAGTTATAATTTTTTCCACAATTAGTTATAAAATTTGTTTCCATTGCCCAAAAAAAAATTGTTTCTTAAAAAATCATTTTTTATCAAAATTTAGTGTTCGTTTGCATCAAAATTGTCTATGAAAGTGAAACTTGTTTTTGCGCTTGGTTATGAAATTTGTTTCTATTACAAAAAAAAAATGCAGACAGAACCCAGAATTAATTTTCCCACCTAAAAGGTGGGAAAATCATTTCCTCCCACACAAGGAAAGAAGGCGCGTAGAGGGAAAAAAAATGAAAAATTTTCCATGCCAAATTATGGTCATCAAACACTACTAAACATAAAAAGTTGGAAAATATTTTCTTTTTCCACCCATTTTCTATGCTATCAAACATGGCCTAAAAGCAAAAGTAAAAGCAAAGCTAAAGCAAAAGACNTTTCCAGGAAATTGATGAAAATGTTTTCCTTTGTCTTTGTTGGTTTTTCATTTTCCAGGATTTTCTTTTTTTTTTTTTTTTTTGGCAATTGAAAAAAATTCTAGATATAATGGTAAAAAATAAATTCACTTTTATTGACAATTTCCATATAAAACAAAGCCAAACGATTGCAATTTGAACAAATTCTAGACCTAATGATAGAAAAAATTATCACTTTAATAGGTAATTTCCATAAAAAACGAAGTCAAACGGATATCAAACTTTCAACATTTTTCAAGTGGAAAATAATAAACACGATTAATTACAATTCTCAGTAAAACAATTTTTAGACAATTCAATTCCCTGTAAAACATTTTCTTTCCACCAATTTTTCACATTTGCAATCAAACGGACCAAGTGTTTTGATTAGTTGAAATTTATGAAATTTTACTCTTTTCCAGATTGGTTCGCATGCATATTACTAATCGCTAAGCGACTTTTCATTTGTGTTTTGATTAGTTGAAATTTAAGGAATTTATTCTTTTCTGAATTGGTTGAAAGTAACGAGTACTTCTCATGAATTGCACACACGAATTGCACCAATCAACCATCACCCACAAATTCTTTTATAGCATCTTTGGTGACAATATTAAAGAAAAAAGAAGTTAAAGTTTGGGCTATTATGCTGTTGAGTCCCGTCTAATAGTATGTCTTTGTTATAGGGAAAATTTCATTTCTAAAATGTTATGTGTCATTTCAAAAATAAGAAAATAAATTTCAAATTTCAAAAATCAGATTTTTTTTAATTTTTATTTATGAATTAATAAATTATTAAATAAATTTATTAAATATTTAATTCTAATATAATATAATTAATCCACCCCACCTCCACCACCCCTACTGCTCCGGGGACTATTTTGACGAACGTTTCGACGACTACTCCGATTTCAACAANCAACGACCGTTCTGACGACTGTTCCTATTACTATTCGGGCGACAATTCCGATGACCGTTACATATTTATATAATATGGTCACAGATTCACAATTTAGTTAGTCACATATTATTTTTCGGTCACAAATCATAATTTTTTACGTCACAAATTATTTTACCGTCACGGCTCAAAAATTTTATAGGTCACAATTTGTTTATCAGTCACGGATCAAAAATTTTATAGGTCACGATTTATTTCATTGGTCACGGATCGAAAATTTTATAGGTCACAGTTTATTTCATTAGTCACGTATTATCAAATTATTGGTCACGACTTATTTCTCGGTCACAAATCAAAAATTTTATAAGTCACAAATTAATTTTTCGATCACAACTTAATCAATTGTGTGTCACAATTCGAATTTTAAGGTCACAAATTATTGAATGCTAAGGGTCACAGTTACATAATTGGTCACAGGTCAACTAATGGGTCACTTACCACCACCACCTCCAATGTTTCCACCGCCACTTGCGACCACTCTCACACATGGCCGATGACGCCACCACCAACACCTCCACCAACAACCACCTCCACTACCACCAGAAACCATCACCACCAAACACACCAACAATATATCGCCATCCAACCGTCAGATCCATTGCCGTCCCCAAATCCAAAATCGCCAGATCCACCACCAAATCTAACACCGGATCCAACAAAACCACCACCATCTCCACTTCCACCACCCTCACCAGGCACTACTACAATAGCACCACCACCAACGCCAGCACCACGACGGCCCAAACCGACGCTAAACGTTCAACGTTCACGGCAACAGATCGTAAATCCCCTCTTCGTCACCACCGCACCACAACGCAACGCAACACAACCACCACATCCACTACCATCACAAACAATTGTTAGATTCGCTATCGCCAGGTCCGCCACCATCACCGCAACCAACCACCGTCAAAACAACATAAAAGACAATATACAAAGGCGTCATAGCACAGTGGGCTCCTAGCGCCAGAGACTGCAGTGGCTCACAGGGAAAGGACAGAGAGAGCTTCGCGGGCAGCAGCATCGCAGTGATGTCTTCCGGTGGCGCCTTCTCGTAGCGACTGTGATGTCTTCGGTGGTGCCTTCTCATGGCGACGCGCTCCGTCACGAACTGCAACGGCTCACAGGGAGGAGAGAGACAAGAGAAAGAGAGAGAGAGGAAGAAGAAGAGTGAATTAGGGGAATTAAGTTTTAATTTTATTATATTTATTAAAATATAAAATTTTATAATTAATATTTAATTAAATATGAAATATCTGATTTTTGAAAAGTTAAACTTGTGATCTGATTTTTGGTGAATTTTGAAAAGCAGTGTTTTGTGTAATTTCTTCTTTGTTATATTCATGTTTCATTTTAACTGATTATTCAAAGCACTGGCTTTTGCACCATACAGGCTGGAGTTTCATGCATTAACCATGGCTTTCTGGAACATAAATCAACACCAACTCTCTTTCTTGGCTTCCAATTGTGAATTACCCAAATCAGAATCATATTTTTCCGGCCCACTGTGTCTCGTGTAATAGCACACCTGAATTCCACAAATGTGATTGCACACTTTGCGTCTCATCCTGCAGCACGTGATTGCACACATGAATTCCAACAATCAACTATCAATCACGACTTCTTTTGTGGCATATACAGAGCAGTACTAAAGAAAAAGAAGTTAAAATCCCGACTTTTAAACTCGAGTCAAGTACTACTAACAAACACGCATTTACTGGATTACTCTTATTTTTATGGATGCTAGAAACACCTGAATATCATGGACCTAAAATTTGACAAATTTAGGCTACAAGCAACGGAGGAGGCAGGATTTTCAAGGGGTGATTATCCCCTGTATGGGGCTTTTGCACCATACAGGATTATTCAATACCCTGCTTATTATTTTTTCTCATAATCAATGCCACTATGGCTTAAGAGCTCAATAGAGTCATGTGCATAAATATCCCCATTAGGACCAAACTTGCAGAAATTGAATTGCCAAACACAGTATTTCCCAGTTCCACAGGTGCAAGGTTTCCCTTCTCATCGTAAAAAGGGTGGCCTAACTAAATTAGCTTGAGAAGATCCACATTGGTCTTTAGAGTGTGAAAATGATATTCATAGGTGCTCTTGAAATTGCACAAGGGACGAAGAACAATGACCGGAAACTCGGTGTCCATAGCAATGTAAGGGCAGTTATATCATGAATTAAGTCAAAATCATATTCAATATTGTCATTCCAGACCTCCCTTATGTGAATTGTATCGCTAGTAGGCCAAACAATCATGTTTTCCATGAAATTTGCACCAAATAATCGAGTCAGAGTTGTTGTACAGTAAGAGATTTGTCTTTTCATTGATTTGAGATAAACCGAAATTGACTACACAATTTCTTTTTTAGATCCTCCTGTAACATCTTAGAAACCCATGTATCACCATTGGCTATACCACATGGAATTTGTTGTATGTCATCCACAGTAAGTTGTTGTCCAAATTATAATTAGCAATTTTCAAATTTGTAACTGACAATTTTCAAGAAGATCTCGTATGATCAATGTAATGCAATTAGAAGTCCAATGAGTGAAGTGCTGTACATGTTTTGCTCCAAATTCTCATTCACGAGTTTGCGAAGCATTTTTCACATAGAAAATATTCGAACTTGAAAAATGCTATTTTCAGAAAAATTGT